CCGGGGCTACCCCTGGAACTGCCCTTCTTTCCAAAGGCTGAATAACCCGTTCCTGCCGCAGACGAACAGGCTGCAGCCCAAGGTGTCACCCTCCGCAGTGACAGGTACCTCGAGGCGTTGCCTTTTTTTGGTACAAGTTTCATTATTTAGTGACGGTCATTTGCAGAATCGACTACTCTGACTTTATGCAGACAGCGACTAATTTTACTTGTCCTTTTATGAGCATCATGGACAATAATTGTAAGCAAATACATTTTTTGTGCTTCTGAAGTGTAAAAAAATAAATGAACCTCTTTGGTGCTCCATGTCCCAGTGCTCTTTGGACTCCTTTGGCCACAGTGTCGTCCCTATGTTCTGTTCTATGTTTTTGGAGCCAGTCACAGATGCTTCTCATCCTTACTAAGTATCTTTTTCTTCTTGAAACAATCCCCAACATCCTTGAGATTGTTATATAAAAGTTATCCCATCATCTGATAGTTCTTCATACACAAAAATGGTTTAAAAAAAAAGGGAACTAGGAGTAGTCTTGGAACACATCACAGAGGCTCCTTTTCACACACAAAGGCCGGGTGCTGCAATGTCAGTCCACTGCTTTAGCAACATAAACAGGAATCTAAAAAGTTCTAGACTATATATGGAGAACAGTAGATAAAATAAACACTGAATGCAAGGAGTGAGCAAAAGGAAATAACTTTTGTCTCTCTTTAACCTTAGGCACAGACTTAAACCATGTTCAGGTTCAGTGAAGGCATTTTGGTGTGGTGATGGTGAATGGGAATATGCTTAAGGTCTTCTGTCACATTTTATAAGTCCAAATCAAATGGATAAAGTCTGCATGTTCTGTTTGTGAAAAGTGAAATAGTTAGAAATGGGATTAGTAATAGCTGGAATGCTGAATGGAAAGAAGCCAAAAATAGCAAGAAAACAGCTAAAAGGACAATATGCTAGAAATCCTCCTTTCCCGGATATGAGAACTTCTGTGTAGCCAAAAATTGTGAGTGTCTGTCAACTGGGATTTGAGGCATGCACAATTATATCTTTAGGATGCAAACCTTACTTGTTCTAATCTATTCATTTATTTATTTATGTTACAAGGCAGGTGGGACAATTGTTACTGTAACTTCTTTCAGAGGATTTGCCCAGGATAGGGAGGCATGAGTTTCCTGTGTTCCTCAGAGACATTCACATTTGCTTTTCTTCCTCTGTGGGAAGAGCATCCCAATCACTAAGGCACAGATTGCAGGTAGTAGAGGGGCCAGCCCTTCGATACAGGCTTTGATAATCTGGGATGAAATGCAAGATCATACAGTCAGAAAAACCAAATGGGAAAGTGGACCTGCCTGTATCTCAGTGGTTGGGACAATCCAGAGGGCACGATCCTGCTGGTCTGACTTGTGCTTCTACGGTTGCTTGTTTAGATCCCTGGAAGAAGGACCTGGGCATTCCT